ATGGGTTCCATTTCTTTCCTATGTTGGGCGTTTATTTTTTCCATTTCTTTCTTATGCTGGGCCTTCATGGCTTCTATCATGGTCCTGAGCTCATCTATTTTTTTGTCAGTTTCTGCTCTAGAGTCTCGAATCACGACTTCCAATTTGCTCACTATCACTATGTTTATCTGGGAAATTATTTCTGTTTTGAATTTTTCTAGAGCCTGATTGATCTGTTTTGTTACTTCCTGTGCTTTGAGTTCAGGGTGTTCTGGTGGTTCACTATAGGCCTTATCATCCTCTTTTGCCCTACTGTTTGCCATTGGTGAACTGGAAGTCTGTCTTTGTGTCTTGCTTAAGTGTTTTCTCATTTTTATTTTTGTTGTCGGGCTGTCCTTGGTTTAATCCCTGAGTTATTACTTAAATATTCCTGATATAGTTGCGTCCTAGCTTCTGGGTCTCTAACGACCCACAGACATTCTCATCTTCATAACATCAGAGAAAACTGCTCATCGAATCAACCACAATGCTTTATCCCAATTGATACAATCAGCAACACATTAAGATCAAGCACAACTTGGAAACTGACCACCTGTGGTAGTCACTATTCTATCACCCTTAAATCTTTTGAATTAAATTGAAATCAAGAAGCAGTCCAGATCATGTCTTCAGTGAACAAAATTTCAACATAGTGTATTTACCATTTAATGGCTCAGACAGACAGAGTGAGGATGCAAGGCCCTTGGTCTCAGTTAGCTGATGGCTGAACCCCATGACGCTAACTGACCTTGGGCTGCAAGGCCCAGATTGAGTTCCCCAACCTTCTGAATGGTTAAACTCCACACCGTTGTACTACAAGTTTCCCACGCCCTTTCTTTAAAGATGTTCAAAGTTGGGAACTCAGAAAAATACCCTATGACCACCCTGTTCCCCAACCTTCTGAATGGTTAAACTCCACACCGTTGTACTACAAGTTTCCCACGCCCTTTCTTTAAAGATGTTCAAAGTTGGGAACTCAGAAAAATACCCTTGATGACCACCCCTGCCTCTGCAGAATGGGTCCAAGACTGGTGCGTGGGGGTGGGCGTGTAAGGGGAGTTATGGGGGTTCAGGGGTGCCCATGTGGCTACCTTCCTGGTGCTGGAGCGATGGTGGCTGGGGTGGGCTAAGGCGTGACTCTCCTTCCCGCGGTGGATTAGGGCCCAGGCTGAGGAGGTCTGATTTTTTTAAAGTTCTTTATATATTCTAGAAAGTAGACATTTGTCTGAGGAACAGCTGGTAAAAATTTATTCCCACATTCTGGTTTGGCAATTCACTCTGTTGGTGGCCTCTTTTGCTGCACAGAAGCTTTTCAATAAGATGAGATCCCAGTTATTAAGTTTTTGTTCTAGTTCACATGCACCTGGGATTTTGTTCATGAAGTCTCTTTGTACTCCATTGTTTTCAAGAGTTCTACCTAATCCCTCTTCCAGCCAGTTTAGTGTTTCTACTTTAATATTGAGATTGTGAATCCAGTTTTGTTTTAGTTTGGTGAGAGATAGAGATCTAGTTATAATCTTTGGCAAGTTGAAACCCAATTTATTAAAGACGCTATCTTTCCTCCAGTGAGGATGTTTGGCTTCTTTGTCTAAGATGAGATGGCTATGTCTGGAGTATTTTCTGCATCTCCTGATCTGTTACACTGCTCCTTGGGTCTGTTTATTTGCCAATAACGTGCTGTTTTTATAACAGTAGCTTTGTAGTATACTTTCAAGTTGAGGATTATGATACCCCTTACCTTGTTTTTGTTGCCTAGAATTACTTTTGCTATTCTAGGTCTCTTCTTGTTCCAAATGAACTTTTGGATTTTTTTTTTTCTCAAGTTCTGTGAAATATGTTGTTGAAATTTCAATTGGGATTGCATTGAATCTATATACCAGTTTTGGAAGTATGACCTTTTCACTATATTGGTTCTTCCTACCCAGGAGCAACAGATGTCTTTCCATTTTCTGATATCCTCTTTGTTATCTTTTTTCAGAGTATTGTAGTTTTCAGAGTAGAGGTCTTTGATTTCTTTCATTGCATTGATTCCTAGATAATTTATTTTTTGGATGATATTGTGAAAGGAGTTATTTCTCCAGTTCCACCCTCAATGAGTCTATTTTTCATGTATGGGAAGGTTATTAATCAAGTGATATTTCCATAATGGAAGCAGTCCAATATAATCAACTTGCCACCAGGTCACAGGCTAATCATTCTGGGGAATAGTGCCATATTGGAAACTCCCATTATTCTCTGATGCTGGTATATTGGGCCTCCAGCAGTGATTGTAGCTAGATCATCCTTGATAAGTGGGAGTCCATGTTGTTGAGCCATGAATAACCTCTATCCCTGCCACCATAGCCACTTTGTTCATGAACCCATTGGGCAATGACAGGAGTGATTGGACAAATAGGTTGACTGCTATCTACAAAATGGGTCATCCTACTGACTTGATTGTTAAAGTATTCTTCTACCAAAGTCACTTTTTGGTGAGAATTTTACATTGGATACATATAAATTTACATCCATGCCCATATTGAGAGGTCTGTCCATGAGCATATCCTGATCATATGGTACATGCCATGAGTCCATAGATGCATACTGGGAGATAGAAAGCAATATAGCAGAAATAGGAACCATGGGCATCTGGGAAATTCTTCACGTAACCAACTTGTGCCCTCTGGACCTGCTCTCGTTCCATCATGCAAGTACCATTTCCAATTTAATTATTGACTATTGCTGTGTATGTCCAACTTTATGACTTGGTTGATCAAATAATACCCAGTTTATGATGGGCAACGCTGCATTCATGGTAACCTGGTGTCATGGTCAAGCATTCAGTGTCCACTAAGACCCAGTAGCAGGCCAGGAGTTTTCAAGGGAAGAGTAGTTGTCTGCAGATGATGGCAAAGTCTTACTCCAAAACTCTAAAGGCCTCTGCTGCTGTGGGAGCCTGGCAGAGACTCCAAACAGCATCCCTAACTGCTTCTGACATTTCAAATACCATTGAATTTTTGTGGAAGGAATTGGTAAATGACATGAAGAGAAGCAAGGAGAAGGTTAAAAAAAAAGTTTACTGTGCTCATAAAGGATCATCCCACACCAAAAGCTGTGCTACCAAACTGACCCTGGACTGGGTGACAATCTGCCTTTTATAAGAGCTCTACAACCATGACCTAATTTTAAGTGATAAGACGTTTTACTTCCAACAGTTCCCATGACAAATCATGGTCACAAGACAGTACAATGTTAATCCAAATGGAACCTCTCTCTCTCAGGTTATTTATCATTAGCTATTTCAGCCCACAAGAGTGGGGGCCTGGAGTGAGAAAATCAGGACCGGTGACATTCTTTTACCTTATCACCTTTATAGCCATATTGTTTATAGAAAGTTTTATGATTCAGGGACTGGTACTTATCTTGAACCTTTTGTCTCATCCTGGGATTCAGTTAAGCACCTCTGGCATTTGTTAATTTTAAATTGGGGCTACATGCCTTTAAGTTTCACTGATGAAACCTCAGGTGTTTTGTTAAACAAGCAGAGCAAAGCAAAAGACAGAGGTTATTCTATATTTTCTTTAACATTTTGTAGGTTTCTGACTATTTACAGAAGTTCTTTCTATGAGGATTTTCTGGAGTACAAGCAATACCTGTACTGCTGTAAGTGCAGCTAGATCTCACACACCAGTGGCAGTGCAGCCTTCACAGCAACCTGGACTTATTACAGAGCCTTCTCTTGTTTTGGGCTCAACTCATCCTACCAGCTTTCTGATTCACTTGGTAAATGGGCCAGAGTAAAGCACCTAAGTGAGGAATGTGTTGCCTCCAAAATCCAAATATAGGCATTGTGCCTCTTTTTGGTTTTAAGGGTAGCCAAATGCAACATCTTGTCTTTCACTTTAGAAAGGATATCTCTATATTCCCCAAAGCACCGGACTCTTGGAAATTTCAGAGATGGAAGGACTTTGAATTTTAGTTGTTTTTATTTCCCATTCTCTGGCTCACAAGTGCTTTGTCAGCAACTTTAGAGTGGTTTCTACCTCTTGGTCACTTGGTCCAATTAGCATAATATCATCGATATAATGGATTGATGTGATAACTTGTGGGAGAGAAAAGTGGTCAAGATCTCTGTGAGCTAAGTTTTGACACAGGATTTAGCAGTTAATATAATTCTGAGGAAAGACAGTGATGGTGTAGTACCAGCTGAAAGCAAATTGTTTCTGATGGGCCTTGTACATAGATATGGAGAAGAAGGCATTGGCCAAATTAATAGCTGCATACCAAATATCAGGAGATGTGTTAATCTGCTCAATCAAGGAAAACCATCTGATTCAGCAGCTGCAACTGAATCACACCTTGATTCAGTTTATACAAATCTGTCATTCTCCAAGGCCTGTCCATCTTTTGCCCAGGCCAAATGGAAGAATTAAATGGAGATGTGGTAACCACCACACCTGCATCCTTGAGGTCCTTGATAGTTGCACTAATTTCTGCAATCCTTCCATGGATGTGATGTTGTTCTTGGTTTACTATTTTATCAGATAAAGGCAACTCTAATAATTTCCATTTTCTCTTTCCAACCAAAATAGCCCTTATATTATGGGTGAAGGAACTAATGTGAGGACTGTCAACTACTAAGTATATCCATCCCAATTATACATTGTGGAGCAGAAAAAGTAACTACAAGATGGATTTGAGGACCCACTGGACCCACTGTGAGTTGGACCTTTGCTAAAATTCCATTAATTACATGACCTTCACAGGCCTCTGCTCTTACCAGAGGGCTACAATGACATTTTGGATCTATTGGAATCGGTGTTACTTCAAAACCAGTGTCCAGTAGTCCTTAAAATGTCTGATATCTTCCTGTCCCTCAATGTACTTATCATGATAAAAGGCCTTAGGTAGCACTGGGGAAGGATGGAATAAGGATTAAACATGTAAAGTTTTGGTGGTGCACCAGAGTCCTCCTCCAGGGGACTTGGAACCCTTTCATTCAAGTATGTGAACTGACTCAAGTTCAGGAACTGGCTGAGGAGATGCAATTCTCTGTTACTGCAATTTTCAGTAGGTTTCTATTCATTTGACCTTAAATTCTTTTTGATTACATAAATCTGGTAAAAATTTAATAGCCTTCCCATCTATTTCACTTTTGTGAACACACTGGCTAATCAGGCAACACCACAGATCTATTTACCTGTGTAAGACCACTACAATTTTTGCTCTGCTTCTGTTGTCTGTTATGGTAAGTGTATGCACCTTGAGGGTTAAGTGCTTCCACTTCATCCCTGCTACTCTGGGATCCAATTAAACTCATTGACCTTAAGTTTGAGTGACCTCATCCCCACCATAAGTTCTGGCATACAGAGAAGAGCAATGACAGGGCACTTCTGGGATGCCTGTCCTCCCCTGATTAATCTGTTGGTCAAGGCGTTAGTGAAGAGTATATTTTCTAGATCATCGCAGTTGGAGGATTACATTTAATATGATAAATCTCCTGCAGCATTCCCATTAGCCTTAGCCTTTGATTCCCTGGATTAACAGTAAACCACAGAATATCAGCTATTTCTAATTCATTTGCAGTGGGTCATCTTTTGATCCATACTTCTCCCAAAAATTGAAGTAAACTATTTACACCTTTTTATTTTACTCCACGAGCTGCAGCATCAAATTCAGAATTTCTACTTAGCAGGTCCATATCGACAAACTCATCATGGTCCAAATGTATGATTTTGCTGCCATTATCCCACTCCCCAAACTCCATTCTGACACTTGCTCATCAGTCCTCTGCTTTTAAGAGTTAGAAAACTCAAGAAGTTCTTTTGGAGAAGAGCAGACCTCCTCATGGGTCACACTACATACCACACCCTTAGGAGTCATCTGCAATTTGAGCCTGGTTATAGATCTGGAGGCAAAAATGGGTGGTGAAGGCATGTCCTGAGGAGTGTCAGAATTATGCTTGATCGACACAGGATTGGCTTCCTCAGGTATACTAGGAGAGGCCAACACTACAGGACATTGAGGTGAGGATGTCTATGCCACTGTGAGTAGGGAAATCTCTTCATCTAGCAAAATAATCTCATTAGAGTCTAGGAGTTCAACGTCCTCAGCCTCATCAGGGTCCTCCCAAACACTTACATCACAATTTATAGGATCCCAACATTTTCTGATCAGTTCCCTCCCCTTTACTTCTGATAGCCTTCAAGACTGAATATTGGATTTATGCTCTACTTCACCTGATAAAATTATGAGAACCTGTGTTTGGATCTGCAATCTAAGCCCTCTGGAGAAGAGAAGATTATCTTTCAGGACACACATAAAAACTTTTTGATTTTTAAATATGAATCAGGAGCTTAAAATTTGAACCTTACTTTTCTTCAAATTAGCCAGGAACCACTAAAGTCATAGAACTTCATCTTGACAATTCTTTTTCTCTAGACTCCACTACCAAAATCTGTATCAATCATTGCTCACTAGAGAAACAGATTTAAGGATTTACAAGGTAGGCTTACAATGGCCACCTGCAGAATCAAGTGTAGAAGAGTGCAGAGGGCTGTCTGCTTGCTGAATATCTGAAGGGTCCAGTCAAAGTTCAAAGGCCCTGAGCTCATTGTAGTGTCCTATGCAAGTCCATATCAGGAGGATGAAAGGTCTGAGCTGGAAAGACAAAGGGTCATAATGGAAGGCTGAATGGTCTGAGCTGGAAGGCTGAAGAGAAAGCTGGGAGAAAATGTCCAAGGTGTAGGTCAAGACTGGAGCTCCTGGGCTGGGGATTTAGCTCAGAGGTTCTGCCACCTGCCTTGCAAGCTCAAGGTCCCAAGTTCAATCCCTGGTACAAAAAAAGACTAGAGCTCCTCTGAAAAAACAGAAGTGAGCCTTCCTTCTTTGTATCCCTTTTATTCCATTCGGGTGACAAGCCTATTGGTTAGTGCTATTCACACCTAGGATGAGTCTTCTATGTTTAGTAAATCCTTTCAGCCACATTTAGAACTATGCTAATTCAATTAGATGGCCATTTCTTACTCAAGTTGACACAACAGTTAACTATCATATCAGGTTTTAGTAGTTAAATTGTCTTATTATGCCTAGTCTGTGTATGAAAAAATCAAATTAATGATATACACATGGTTTCCTGCTGGTTAAGAAATTTGGGGGCTAAGCTAATCAAAGGACATCATTGTGACCAAGCTCCAGTAAAAAGATTAAAGCATTCTCATTCAGAAACATTGCACACATTTTAATTGCTGAGAACAGAGTGCATTGTGTGTGACTTCATTTAGAATGAAAGTATATAGAGCTTTACAGGTGAAACTTCTCAGTATCTGACTGGATCTTTTCCTACTGTGATTTGTTTCTATTACATTATTGTGAGTATTGTGGTATGGTTTTCGGTATGCTCCCAATGGTTTTTGTGCTGGAAGCTTGTTCTGCAATGTGTGGCAATGTTTAAAAGTAGTGGAGCTATTAAGTGGTGGGACAAGTGAGACATAATTAGGGCACTGAAATCATTATGCTCAGAATACATTAATGTAGTTGTCATAAGATTTTCATTAGTTCCTGCAACTGAGTTGTTATAGAAAGAATCAGCCTGCCCCATGAAATGCTGTGGCTTTCTATCTTTCCATGTGATCTCTTTTGTACACACTACTACTATTTTAATGTCATTTCCTAGGACAAAAGAGGACAAATAGGCCAAAAATTAATGAAAAAATTACTAATTTTAGACAAAAACTGTGAGCTAGTACAGTTCATTTTAAATTTTCCAACTGAACATATTTAGTTACAACAATAGCAAAATGGACTAATAAAGGAAATTGGTATTAAGGAGTAGGGCAATTGCTATGAAAATGTTTAAATAGCTTTGTGACTTGGTAATCAGCAAATACTGGAAGAGTTTGTATGAGCAGGCTAGAAAAAAAGCTTAGAATGCTGAATGCAGAACATTGCAGAAAAATCTGTGAAAGCTCAGAATAGGAGGAAACTGGGAAACTAAAGAAAGTGATCCCTATTGAAAACTGGAGTAAAAGTAAAACACCATTTGATAAAACTTTACTGCACTGTCACCATGCTCTGGGACTTTATGGAAAGCCCAATGTAACAATGATAATCTAGAATAGTGATGGCCAACATTTTAGAGACTGCCCAGACTATAACTCAAAACCCATGTATTTATCTTAAAGTGCCAACATGGCAATTAAATGTGAATATCAGATGCTCAGCTGTTGGGTGATTTGATTCACATGCCAACAGAGAGGGCTCTGCTGCAGCACACAGGCCATAGTTTCACCACTACTGATCTAGGATATTCGGTGAAGGAAATTGCTAAATATCAAAGCATTTAGATTGACTCTTGGCTACTTTCAGTGAACTTTACAATAAAATTCAGGAACAGATGGAAAAATAGCAAAAATACTGGAAAATTCACAGGCTGGTCAGGGAAAAGTGTGTGTGGAGGGGAGGCATGTAAGGATGTGGTCCAGCAACTGCTTGCTAAAAAGGTTAGCACAAATAAAAAGAAGCCAAGAAGCTTGCATCAGAACAATGAGAGAGACTCAGAAATACTCACAGAAATCTCTGAGACCATCTGTCCTTTTATAAGCCCAGGCAAAAGTGTTTCAAGATGTGTCTTGGCATACTCCTGGGTTTTGTCAAGACTCTCTCAGAATTCAGCTTTTCATTTTACACTGAACTGTTTGTTCCATGGATGCTTCAGCAATGGTTCAAGGAAGACTGGGCATAACTCATGCCACTGTTGTGAAGGAAGCCAGTTGGTAGACCTGGCTATCCACGTGTTCTGCTTTTGCAAGCAAGGAAAATTAAGAGCACTGTGATCATGATGGATTCCACTGATATTTCACAGGAAGGCCTGGGAATCTGCAGCGGTGCCTACCACAGAGACAAAGCTCTTGCAGAAATTCTCCACTTGAGTGCCTGTGGAGCCTTAGAAGTGGAATCACTTCTTTTAAGCCACCAAAGAAGTAAAACATCCAGCAACATGCAATTCTCACTATGAAAAGTTGTAGACATCATACATTGCCAGCCAGTGAGAATACCCATATGAGTTTTAACCAACAAAGCCATAGAGACAAAACTGTCCGAGATGTTGGGGATGCCTGTTCCACTACAATATGCACAATATTTTGAAGTTGAAGCTTTCAAAACTTATTGTCTTTCTTGCTGGTTTTCAATTTTACTCTGAGCTTATTGTTCTTTTTTTACTTCCCTTTTTCTCTTTTGAGAATAGAAACATTTATCCTATCCCTGCCTCACCTTTGTATCTTGGAAGTAAAAAATGTGCTGTTTTTGTTTTTGTTATTGTTATTGTCATTGTTTACAGGCCTCATAGCTGGGAAAAAATTGCTTTGAGTGATGAGACTTTGGACTAGGACCCTGAGTGATACTGGATGTTGAAATTTTCATTAACAAAAGGACATGGGCTTTGGAAGTCAGGGGCAGAATACTGCAGTTGGAATATAGTTTAAAGATCTCCCAAAGGTTCATGTGAAATTTGGTCTGCAGTGTGGTGATGTTGAGAATTAGTAGTGCACTTACTAGAGAGTCCTAGTTAAGTTATTAGGTGTACTGGTTAGGGATCTCTATAGGAATAGAAAAATGAAATATATGTGGGCCGGTGATTTAGCTCAGTGGTTCCAATGCCTGTCTCACTAGCGCAAGGTATCGAGTTTGATCCTTGGAACCTAAAACAAAATAAAAT